CCTTCAACCCATTCATATCACCTAAAAGGTAAACCTGTTGACAGCTCTGATGATTCAGTAAGGACATCTCCTGGTTTCATCTTCATGTTTCCCTCTCACCAGATAACCAAACCGACATCATGACCAGCAGCTTTTACTGCCGTGGCTCCAACAAACATCAGCTGATACTAGGACGTAATATTAAATAAATTCTAACAACAGCTGATCAAGTTTAAAGGCGCTTCTGCTGTTTAACGCGACCCCCGCTAGTTTCCTCTTTCTGGCGCAAAGCGGGAGATAAACAAGCAAGAGAGAAAAGCAGATCAGCTGATCATTGATCAGTTTCATGATTGAAGTAGCAGCAGGAGAGAGAGGGAGGGGGAGAATGAGAGAAGAAGAGGCGGCTCTTTTTTTTATTGTAGCTGAAGTACAGGACAAATCGCGTTTATTTTCAGCTCAATACAAAACATGTAATATTAACTCTGAATACCAGAGGATTCCGTTTTTTACAGGACGGTAGGCAACTCTACTAACTAACCTTGAATAAAATAAAGTTCACTATCAGTAACATCATAGCACCCACCCAACTGTATAGAAACTCCGTCATGCTAGCTAGTACACAGTACGAGTTATCGTCACTGACTGTAAAAAGTTAGCACAACAAAAATAAACTGCACCTAAACTTGGTTTATACCTGACCCAGACAGACTGCAGGTCATAACTTCTTACCTGAAGCTCAGTTCACCTGACAGCCGCCTTGGGTCTCTCCACCTCCGCCTCCCCTTCCCCCCATCCACCTGCTGGCTTCCACCACTTGCTAATTTTACTGAATCTGTGAAAGCTCCACCATAGCCACTACCAAACAATTGAGCTATACACGTCTGCCAGCATCTATCCAATCCGCCACCTGTCACTGTTCACACGGTTAGGGGGGGGAGACAACAACAACAAAACATCGGCCCATTTAAACCAAAAATTACCATCGGCCCACCGGGACTGATAGCTGGACTGCCCGATGGCCAGTCCAGCTATGACTTCTGGTTTCTCAACATGACCCCAACCCTAAAATGCTAAACCGGTTTCATCCAGATTTTATTGTCTACAGCAGCATCAGACTTCACATGGAAAGCTTTTAGGCCTGAAACACTGATGCAAAAAAAACCATCCAAACATTAAACTCACCAGCCATCAGCGAGTTACACACCAACCCTCCGTAGATGGACAAAGGCCTCTCCCAAGGTTGCGACCACAGGGAAACGTCTGTTTGCACAGCAGCCATGATGAAAACGAAACAGCAGCAGATTCCTTCACCTCCTTCACCCAGCCAGATACACAAACCTGAATCCGGCCTTCCTCACTCTCTTATCTGGGCCCTTGGTCACCTCCCCCACATTACCACCTTCCACCCACTCTCACCCCAGTGAATGGCCAGAGTTAACGGTATATGCATTACATTACAATAGCTGCTAGAATGATCATGAGGTGTCTTCAACAAAGCACTTAAAGACACACAGACCACGACAAGCCCCATAAGACCCTTAAATATATTACTGCCACATGAACTAAATGAAATGCCTTAAACTAACAAAAAAAGTCCCTACCTCCAACAGAAACATTGTCTTAACATTGAACACATGCTGAACTTCTTGATATGATGTTTGTTTCTGTCTTGCAAATCCCCGTCGCTGACCCTGAAGAGCGACACCTCTTTATCAGCTCCTTTTTCACAAGGCTGTGATTTTTTTTGGCACTCTTCCTTACAATCTGATTCATCTACAAAACAAATATTTGTTTGATGCCTCTCCAGGATCTGCAAAAATTACATGTGAGAACATAGCACATACCATATATATTAGAAAGTACACTTTGGTTCCCACGTTGGGTTTTCTGAAAGTTTACTTATCATTTGAAGAAAAGAAAAAAAAAGAAAAAAAAAGCTCGCAGGTTTCAAAGGAGTGTCAATCATGAAAGCTACTTTTAGACGCTTCCTCATTCACAAAGGTACCGCAGTAGGTAGGAGCGTGTACACCGCTGCACTACGGCATTCATGATAAACAAACATGCTCTGACACGCTTCACAAAACAGTGGATTTTATTTAAAAAACAAACTTTGAGGTCTCTCGATAAGTTACAGTAGCTTTGTTTCCCTGTGAGCTTACAAGCAGCCAGCCCTTTACCCTCTCTGTTCAATGTCATCTTTACATTTTCAAAAAGTGCTTATAAATTCTCAAGGTGTGCAACAAATTCCAGTTATTTAAAAAAAGTCTCTTCCACCAACTCCCTTTTGGTGAGTAAATGTAAACAAAATGTTAGCCCGCACCATGAAGATCACATAGGAAACTTATATACGCAGTTTGAAGAGAGGCAGAGGTGCTGAGAGGTCACTGTCATCAACTTTCTGTTTCTGTTGCTCTCTGTGGCACATCAGGAGTAAGCCTCATTTTTATGGCTCTTTTCCTGTCTCCACTGTCGCTGAGGGCCTGTGGCGTCGACGGCGAGATCCATGACCCCATCAGGCATCAGCCACTGCAGGAGCAGCAGGAAGAGGAAGTCCAGCACGGCCACAAACGCAAAGATGGAGCCAGCGACGGGGCCGCAGTGAGCCCTCAGCCTCCGTAACCGTCTGTCCAGGGGAAGAACTTCCTCTCCGACCACCCTGTCGTACACCTGACAGGGAAAAAACACATTGATCACCTGAGTGTCCTTCAGTAGTTAAACATGTAAAAACCACCACCTAGACATAAACTGGAATACATTTTTTAGGATTAGATTTGGATTTGTTTTAGAAATTCTAAATACTGATATAGACTTTTGTTGTTGTTGTTTTGCTGTGTTTATTTTTTAAAAATGCTGTGAAAGAAGAAGAAAAAATGGCTGATTACAGAAACTTCTGTATGTTAAAAACATTTCTGGCTATTTGAATACAAGTTTTGAGAGTTCACAGGTTGTACCTGAATGTTGCCGCGATGTTTCACAGGCCGGGCTCTGCTTACAAACTGACATTGACTTCAGAGTGCACTTTAACACACTGCTAGCTTATTTTTTTTAAAGGTATGCCATTGTTTAACATGGAGCCATAGAGCAATGCCAAGCACTTAGAAAATACCAAAAAACAAAACACAACTGTCACGTCTAGCTGCCTTGCATGACTGTCAAGCTTGAGAAAGAGAGAGAGTTTCATACAGGAATTTGCATACAGCAGAGGTTTTCCTGTACCTTTCAAGAGCATATTTGGTAGCGTAGTTGCACCGACACAAAAATAACCATAAGAGATAATGAATGAGCAAAGCTCGTCTCCAGGTTAGATGTGTTTGAGCATGTTGTACAATTAAAGAAAAAAAGGACACTCAAGATAAATTTGATGTGCCTCAGCTTTTTATCTCTTACCTCACAAGTTTCTAAGCATGATGCAAGAGAGAGAGTTTTTTGGAAATCAGATACTGTGGGAAATGTTTAGAGAAAACATGTTTACGCAAAGTCTGGTAATCTGGACGCCTTATCTGATGGTGCAGTCGTCCAATTATCTGATCAAGATTCAGAGTAGTTGCTGTTTTCAATTTATGAAAATGTCCTTGTGATGAAAGGGCACACCTGCGTCTTTTATTTTCCACAATAAAATGTTATGCTTTGATAGCATTTTCTTCAAAAATGTAAAACAAGCTGTTACATGCACACGGTCCAGTGTGGGTGTCTTTGGGGAACCTACTTTCTCGGTCCTCTCCGCAACATTCCTCCAGGTGTAGAGGTTTCGCACACGCACGTGATTGGAAGCAGGCGACGGGACGTTGCCCGATCGTTGCCGAGCGATGACCGCTTCCAGACCGGCGCACAATGAACGGACGGTGGGTTCACACAGGGTAATCAAACCCTCAGGTAACACCTCTGGAATGCCTCCCACACGAGTGCTAACCACCTAAGAAAACAGAGACAAAAAACAGATGCTGACAAACACATACACACGCGCAAAAAAGAGAGAACAGAAAAACAGAAGTTTTCCTGAAGTATAAAATATGTCATGGAATGATTATTAGCAAAATTCCACTGTGTGTGTTTGGCCTCAAGCTAAAACTAGCACCACAGCTCTGTGGACACCTGAAAAAGGAAGCTCTGCTGTACCTGGAACCTCAAACAGTGATGTCAGGGTGTACCCACTTTCATATCACTATGGTAACGTGACAATTTCAATCAAAGATGTACAAAGTTATAAAGATTAGGAGTCATGGAAAATGAAATGCTAGCCACTTTATTAGGTACACCTGTTCAGCTGCTTGTTATAGCAAATATCTGATCAGCCAAAAAGAGGAAAATATTCCGTGCTCTGGAGTTCTCTGGGAGAAAATGCCTTGTTGATGTCAGAGGTCAGAGGACCTCTATCCTGCCTTGCATCAACAGTGCAGACTAATGTCGGGGTATTTTCTTGGCACACTTCAGGCCCCTGAGGACCAGCTGAGCACTGATCTTAACTGAGTACTGTTGGTAATCATGTCAATTACTTCATGACCACAGCATGCCCACCTTATCATGGGTGCTTCCAGTAGGATAACACACAGTATCACAAAGCTCAAATCATCTCAAACTGGTTTCTTGAACATCACAATTAGCTCAAGTGGACTGAGCTTTGAGATTTGAAGGAAAGGGAGGTTCCCGTTGTGGATGTCCAGCTGTGTGATGCTATCATGACAGCTGCACGTCCACCATCCATTTCTGTGCCATGAAGAATTTAGGCAGTTCTGAAGGCAAAACAGTGTCTAACCCTGTACCTGCGAGGTGTACCTAATAAAGTGTCTGGTAAGTTTATATGACAGCAATCAGCATCCAAAAGCTTCCCAAATAAACTCCACTTTACTGGAATATTACTAACAAAATAAAGTTAGAGTAAAGAATTCCATGTTTACAAACTGAATTGTCTTTAAAAACATTTTTATTGATAGATTAATTATTGATTGAGCTCAAGGTGTTAAAGATAAATGTGTATATAGGTATTTTTGTAAATATACACATCCAACAGCATTCACACTTTACACTATAAGTTGCTGCATTGTGCTTGTCTCCTTTCTTGCCCTGTGTTATGGCACAGTTCAACTTATGTTCAACTTTATGTCCAACCTACGTGTCCCAATAAATCACAGATAAAGAGTGGTTACTCAATGCGTCTTCCCATAAGCAATTATTTTTTGTGTAATCTCTGTACGCATATCTGTGTAAGAATCTGCAGAAAAGGGTATAACTCATCATACAGTCTGACTAAGAAAGTAAGAAGAAATTACGTTATTAAATGCCACCTGCGTGTGTTTCCCCGTTTTTTTCCCCATAGTTATGAAACCTGAGGATTCCCTCTAGTAGGAAAGAATAACAAACGGGCTTGTTTGTTAGCTCGAAGGCATTTTCATCCCAAAAGAAATTAAGCTCCCAATGTAATTTCTTTTGGAAATAACCTGGAGGTAAGAGGATTCTCTCATGGATTCTCAGGTTACTTTTTTCCATCTGTAGGTCTAACGTCACGAAATAACAAGAATGACATTTCCAGTTTCTGTTCCTCCAGCGATAAACCACATTAAGTTCCACTGTGATGCGGTTAGCTGCTGTCTGGCATTTGCCGCTCTTACATAAAGGTCTATCCTCCCTTTCCCATGTCTCCCTCATGTACTTCAGTTTTTTTTAAGCAGCGGTATGAGATGAGCTGCACACGCCCACGGCGAATCTGCCACAAGAAGACTTCAGCATCTTCAACTGAGTTGTGCCGGCTCCGCTTGGCCGAATGGGCTTTCACAGAGCTGCTTCTGTGATCTGAAAGTGCCTCGTCTTGATAAAGTCTAATTTTCATTATTACATTATTATATATTCTATAAAAAACTAAAAGTTTATCTGCATTTTTTTGCTTAGATTTGTGACATGAACTGAGCTTAAGGTCTAAAGATTCAGTGTTAGATCTGTCGCCCCTCGGATGACTACTGGGGGCAACTTAGGTCACATATTGGCCTGTTTCCAATAAAATGACTGGTTGTGCATCAGAAGATGTCATTATCTTAAGAGATTGGCACGCTAAATGGTAAGTAAACAAGATGTTAAAATCGATACTATGATCAAGCTAGAGGGAAATATTGCACCATGTAATGACAAGCATGTACAAGTTTACCCCCACAATCTAATAACATCATGTAGCTAATCTGGTTAAACCATCCTTCAGGTTGTGGCATGTTTGTAGCAGCAAGATGTGCCCTCTCCCATTTGTATTAAAGAAATATTCTCAAATGTTTGGTGTGTTTATCTCAAAAAAGCTGTTTCACTTAAAGTGAAATAAGGAAATCCTGACACCGAGAGTCACTGCTACCGGACTTCATATCATTGACCTTGTGTATCAATGACAGATCTGTCAGACAGCAGCTAACCCCATCACAGTGGAACTTAACGTGGTTTATGGCTGGAGGAACAGAAACTGCAGCAAACCTGCAGTCCACAGCTGGCTCCTTCCACAATGGCCATGCAGAACGCTTCAGTGAGCGACGTGTTGAGGAAGATGTGGCCTTGAACCAAAACCCCACGCACATCTTTGTGCTCCAGAGCGCCCAGCAGACGTACCCTGTGCAGATCAAAACACAGTGGTAGCACCTTTACTCAGGAACCCAGTGATTGACCCTGGGTTTATCTACTAATCTACAATCATTTCCAGGTGTTGAATAAACGTAAAGGAAACACAAAACAATGGCAGTAAATTCCAGTTAATTAAATTCTATAACAGTGTTGGTCCTTTAATATACTACAGAAAGTTTCTTTATATGAGATTTGCTCCTGTGGTAAGAAAAGTAAACTAAAGCTGTAATACAGACACGATTTAATATACAAATACTTAGACATGCTTTAATAGATCCTGAAAGATGCCGACATCATTATCTCAGGAAATAAACGCATCCAGCAGTACCTGTCATGTAGTTGGTATTTCTCCCTCACTTCCTCCAGAACAATTCTCTTTGGTCCCTCTCCGCCAATCAGGAAGTGGAGGTAAGGATGTTTGAGACAAAGCTCCGGGATAATTCCACCAAGAAGATCAATTCCTGCAAAGAAGGAAAGAAAGTGAAGACTTCCTTCCACTATTAGAGTGATGCAGTTCTCTACTGAACTTCATATGGAAAGCAAAGGCAATGGCTATTTTAGTTACATAGTACATTTCATTACATGTAACCTTGAGGTTCTTAACATAGAAGGTAAATACATCAAAATAAGAGTAAGTCTATAATGTCTTAAGACAGTGAAAACAACAAACTTTACAAAGAGATAAAGTCCAAGTTTCTCACACACACACACACACACACACACACACACACACACACACACACACACACACACAATAAGCCCGTGCTTTTGTTTGTCGGCACAGATGCAAGCCATCTTGGGTCAACAGGCACCTTGTTCCAAAGAACACATCTACAGTAACGGTAAGTTTTCTTGGCATGCTTTGATCTTCTTCTGAGAACAGTTAAAAGATCTACGCCTGATAACCTGAGAGGTCTAGGTGTAGTGTAACTTATTGCACTGGGAGGCCAAACCAGTGTGAGTTTTATGAACCAATAAAAGGATTTTTCAGGTAATTCTGCATTAAAATTGGATGCAGTTGTTCACATTAACCCAAACAACCATCTGCCTCACTCATGCCGCTCCGGAACAACAAATTCTTCCCTGATGACGGGACTGTGTTTAGACTGTTGACTTTTGCTTAAGCGGGTGAACACAGGATACACACACACACACGTACACTGACACAGATGTACACTCATTACCCTACACCATTCCAGACACCCCAGATGCTTGCTACCCACCTGATGTAGACAGCAGGTCTGTCCAGCGACTGCAGGACAAGACGACTGCTGTCTGCACCGGATCATTCCTTACCCCATACCCTCCCCCGTTGCATGCACACATATGGTTCTTACACACACACTGGACTTTCTGGACTTTGGTTTTGCACAACACTGGTCACTATATTCTTAATTTCCGGTTAATACTTGTACAGCTGCTGTTATTGTGTATATATTTATTTATATTTAGATTTCTTCATACATTCTTATATAGTTCTATATTGTGTATTGTGTATTTTGTTGTACAGTTATTTTATTTTCAACTTTAATTTATATTTTATTCCTTCCTAGTTAAATTTACCCTTTTTAATTTTTCATATTTATTTCCTATCTTATTCATAGCCTTTTCCTTTTTTGTTTTCTTTAGGTCACGAGCAGTTGTCCAAGCATTTCACTACATATCGTACTGTGTATGACTGTGTACGTGACAAATAAAATTTGAATTTGATTTGATTTGATTTGATGTCACGTCCTTTTACATGGTGTAAGATGTGAATATTCATGTGCTTTTTTGTGCTGGTGTTTTTTTACTCTCCTCAAACTGGTCTCCCAGTAAGGAGCCCAGTTTGAGTAGAGTTCTTTTTTTTTCCTCCCCTTGTCCCTGACGTGTATACTTTCACTGTTTTCTTTTTGGCGCAGCCACATCTGCAGCCTGATTCTAATTCGTCTCTGTTCAGTTCTAAGACATTTTGAGAAATCCAGAAGTTAATGTCATCAACGAAGCTCACTGGTTTATGAACAGAAGTAAATGATAGGAGCAACTGTATCATCTATGCAAGACTGACAGGATGTATTATGATTTTTTATGAAAGTGCCAAGTGGGAGCACTAAGAATTAAAGAGTAATGGACCGAGAACTGATCCTTGAGGAACCCCGCTTGAATTTTTATTTCTGTAGCTCTAAAACTATTAAGTGAAACAGAGCTACATATACTGTGCTCTTTAAGCCCAGGTTTGATTGCACATTTTTCTTTCCAGGGATGCTTTTCCTGAACTAGCAGAGCTTCCAGCATGTTTTACAAATGACTGTTTCTCTCTCCTGCCCGTCTTCAAACATAATAACAATGATTTTAACTAAAAATGTCAAATTTGGATCCTTCACCCATAAGAGCTGCTGACACTCATTTGCAGTCCAGTTCTGGTGTAATTTGGTACTCTTCCACTGACATTATTTTTGATAAGTTTTCAGTGAATGGTAGGTACATGGATCAGCTGAAGGTCCAGGTGCATCTCTCTCTTACTGTATCAGATCTGTTGGATTTTTTCCTGTTTCTTAAGCACATCACTTTCAGGTACTCTTCATCTGCTGTAGACAGATTTTTAAAGACTGTCACTTATTCTTTTGTCCTCCACTTCTCCAGTTTCCTCAAATGTAAGGACACACTACACACCATACCAAGATATCCTAAGTTTTAAGCTACTTGAAAAATAAAGTTGGGTGGCTCCAAGGTTATTATCGTTAACGAAAACTAACGAAATAACGAAAACTAGAAGTGAAAAAACATTTTCGTTAACTGAAATATAAATAAAAACAAAAAAAGGAAAACTAACTAAAACTGTAATGAGTGTTCACAAAACGAACTAAAATTAACTGAATTTATAGCAAAAATGTGTTTTTTACTTGTTTTAGGGTGAGGGCCTGAACAAAGGACTGTGACCTATTCAGCATAGCACCTTGCTGCTTCAAGTAGATGCAACAGCGTCTAAAACAAATTTCTCAGTACCTTTCCGATAGACGAGACGGCTGATGACAACAATTGTGATCCTGTCATCTTGTCGCTGGGAGGGGTCTGGTGTGAAGTCTGTAGGATCGACAGCGTTGGGAATAACGGACACTATCTCTGGGTCGAGTGCTGCGCGTAGAACTGTGTTCTCCTTACTTGTGTAGGACACACACACAATATGGTTGGTGTCACACAGCGACACAGTCAGGAGCTTGTTGGTCAGGACAGAGCTGAGGTCAGCAAAGCCAAAGAGCGAGTGGTCAGTGAAAACCTGCAAATGACAAACACTCTTTAGCGATTTAAACAGCATCATGTTAGAAACACGGGAAATTAACTGAATCACCTACTGTGTTAAGACCCATGGTCTTAGCGTGGAACAATGCATCATGGGCCATGGCAGAAAAGGAGCTGTGTGCATGCACGACGGTGATGCGCTCCCTGACAAACACACAGCGCATCAGCGGGAGACTGTGGAAGCAGGTGGTGGCTGTGGACTGGTTGTACATCACTTGCAGGGGCAGGTAGTATACCTTCAGGCCATTGGTCAGGTACCGGACACCCTTCCTCCTGCCGTAGGCGTGAGTGACAATTACCACCTTGTGCCCCTTTTCAATCAGGCACTGGGAGAGTTGGTAAATGTGACTTTCTACTCCTCCCATGTTTGGATAGAAAAAGTCAGACACCATGCAGATGTTGTGCTTCCTGCTGTGGACCCTGGCAGCCTGTGCAGAAACTCCAGAGTTTCTCTGAGATGAAGGGTTATTCCCTGCTGCCACTCTCCGGCGCTGACCCATGGTATGCTTCTTGAGTGTCTCTGTACTTGATCAGTGCTGAAAGAAATAGTTAATAGTTAACAATAAGTATAATTCTAATGGATTATGTGTTGTATGGGTTTTGACTTTTGCTGCCATGATGCCAAGTCTTGGAAAGGAGATTTGAATCTCAATGAGATTTTTACCTGGATAAATAAAGGATTAATAATTAAAAAAAATACTGGGGAAAAAAAGAGGCTTCCCATCAGTGACTTTTTAAGCTAATCATTTTTCAAAGTAAATATATTTGACCTGAATCAGCTGAATTGTTAGTGAAAAAAAGTATTATAAAGTAATATATTAACAAAAAAAGGGCGATAGATATATTATTACATGAGCTCACTCAATGAAGGGCACCAGCGTCCTGTGACCTTGAATTGGATAAGTTGTTAAGAAAACGGATAGAGGGGTCAATTGATAATATATTTTTTATAAGCATTCTATTGTATAGTCTACTGATATTTATAATTTTTTAAAAAATCATGGTACGTTCAAAGCCTAAAGTAATATGGGCATTCTGACACTGGTCTTTGACCTGCAAGTGTTGCTGTGGCTTTAATTTCTTGAGTTTTTATCCTCTTCTACCTGCACCTTGGAAACACTTGTAAGGGCAGAAAACTTTGCTGGGTCCACCTGTCCTGAAATGTGATTCCATTGTTTTTATTAGAAACACACAAAAATCTCACCACTACACGTCGACACCTCTCTGACAGTGTCAACAAAGCCGCACATTAAAACTTTGCAGCCGATTTGTAGCAGAGATGTTCAATTTTATTTAACATTTAAAAAGTTGGAATAAAGAAGAAACCTTTTGACCCTTTGCCTTGGTCATTGTCATCCAAAGTAACCTTTGCAGCGCAGTCTGAATAGGCTTGTATCCATATCATCACATACATGTTTGCACAGTGTGTGGAGGTTCGATATCAGCTCACAGACAACCCCAAACCGAGAGTACTGCCATGTCTATAAGTTCCCTACTTCTACCCATTAACACAAACCGAAATAAAACACTTGAACGGATTTGCTGATGTGAGGTAGCAAACTCCTCTAAGCTCCAGTGCATTTAGGCTTTACACTTGTTCGCATTATGTATAAACGTCATGGAGACAAACACCTCTTCGCATTTAACCTTAACAAGCATCGCAGCGAACCGCTTTCACAGTCCAACCTGCCTTACCGTGGGTGGAAAGTCAGTCTTTTTCCAGATTTGATTTCATTTCTACATGCTAGCCCCGAGCTAGCCACTTAGCCGCCTGTGTTACTTCCTGGTGTTTTCTACGTCACTGGGAACGTGGTAGCTGACGTATGCTGCAAGGAAGTGAAACTATATGTGACATTTAAACTTTGAGGGTTTTGTTTTTTTTACAAGTAAAATAAAACCAAAGGTTAACATTCGTTTTTCTTTCATACTTACTTGTTATAAACGTCTTTAAGTGCGAATGCTAAATCCAGAAATTATCACCATGCATGTTTTTTGTGCTTTGTTGCTGTTGTTGTTTTAATATTGTTAAAGTCACATAATAAAGTGAAGTAATGGGGACGATTTACTTACACACTTTTATTCCACAGCATTATCAACTGGTAACTTAAATTACGGCTGTTTATAGACTAAGCCTTTACAATTAAGGTTTTGCAATATTTTCCTTAAATATATAAAATTCTGTGAAATACAAAACACTGATACAAATGACAGACTGAAGCAGTGATCCAAAACCAGGTTGGCATGTGAAGAATCAGGAAAAATCTAGTAACGAGTGGCTTAAAAAGAAAAGAATAAATATGTTGTAATGGCACAGTAGAAAGTTCAGCCCTCATCTCGACTCACTGGCTGTGGCAGAACCTCAAAAGAGTCACACATGAATGACTGCAAACCTCAGTGAATGGAAACAGACGGTCAAATATTTCTCCACAGTGATGTGAAAGACTGAAAAAGCCACAATAGTAAAACTGGCTATACAATCTTTTGAATCATAGTGTGTACTTGATTTAATACACATGCTTTTGTATTTGGCTTATTTTTTAATCAATAAAAAATGACACTGAGGTAATATCTGAGGTTTTATTTACTTCATTTTTCATTCAAATTATGTCCTGTGTTGCATGACTGTACATTAGTTACAGCAGAGATCTACTGCATGTTGTTACTTTGTCACAACAAAAACATTTTTGTTGATACTGCAGTTTTGCATCACTCTTATGTGATGGAGTACTGAAAGTGTGCTACACTTGACAAAAAACAACAACAACGCAAAAACAGGATCTGTGTTCTTCTTGAAGCATGTGGTGTGCAAGTGTTCATGGTTCTTTAAAGAGAAATGAAATATCTGACAAGGAAATAAAAGTTACCAATCATGCAGTTTAAAA